TCACGGTCCCCAACGTCGTAGTTTTGTTCTGCTGGTGAAAGTCTACGAGAGAAAAATGCACAAGGGTGAACTCTTTGATCAGAGTCGAGTTTTTGGGATAACACAGCTCCTACACCAGAGTCAGAGGCGTCCACTTCGAGGATGAATTGCTTGGTAGGATCGGGCTGAATTAACACAGGAGCTCTGGAAAACAAAGTCTGTAGTTTATCAAAAGCATTTTGTGCTTTGGGGGTCCACAGGAAGGTCTTTTTGACTGATGTTAGGATTGTTAGAGGAAGAGCTGTCTGACTGTAGTTCCTGATAAATCGACGGGTGGAATTTTCGAAACCCAGGAATCTCTGCAGCTGTTTACGGTTTTCTGGTATCGGCCAATCCAAAACAGCTTTTATCTTTTCTTCAGATGGCTTAACCTGCCCGCCCTCGAGCACAAACCCTAAAAAGGTGACTGAAGGTTGATGAAACTCGCATTTTTTGGCTTTTACAAAACGTTTGTTCTCCAACAATCTTTGCAAGACCAGGCGGACATGTTTCTTTTGCTCAGAAAGATTCTTAGAGTAGATTAGGATGTCATCAATGTATACAAACACAAAGACATTTAAAAAGTCTCTGAGGACATCGTTGACAAGGGCTTGGAAACATGCAGGGGCGTTAGTGAGACCAAAAGGCATGACTAGATACTCGAACTGGCCCAGAGGAGTTTTGAAAGCTGTCTTCCATTCGTCACCTTCTCTGATCCTGAGAAGGTGATAAACGTTACTTAAATCGAGCTTAGTGAAGACAGTAGCCCCTTGTACTGGTTTGAAGGCTGATGCTAGTAACGGAAGTGGGTATTTATTTTTAACTGTTATTTGGTTAAGGCCTCTGTAGTCTATACAAGGTCTTAGAGAACCATCTTTCTTGCCCACAAAAAATAAACCAGCTCCCAACGGAGAAGAAGAGGGACGGATTATTGCAGCAGCTAAGGACTCATTTATATATTTCTCCATAGTTTCTCGTTCTGGCTTGGAAATGTTGTAGAGTCTACTGCTGGGCAGGGGGGCTCCAGGTAATAGTTCAATCGCACAGTCATATGGTCTGTGAGGTGGAAGAGACGTAGCACTGACCTTACTGAAGACAGGAGCCAGATCATGGTACTCGGACGGGACAGAAGTAAGGTCAGGAGAGTCCATCTCCCCCCTACCTCTAGGAAACTGTACAGCGGGAGCTGCAGAACGAAGGCATGTTTCATGACAGGAGGTCGACCATGATTCAATGTGGCGATCAGCCCAGTTTATATGGGGATTATGTCGTTCCAGCCACTCAAAACCAAGCACCAAGGGAGAACATGCAGAGGGAAGAACAAAAAATGTCAGAGTTTCACGATGGTTACCTGAGATTAACAGCTCGAGAGGTTGTGTTTGGTGGGTAACCTGATGGAGTCTCTTCCCATCGATTGCGGAGACACTAAGTGGCTTGGTTAAAGAGATAGTTTCGATTTGTAGCTGCTGAACCAGTTTTGAGTCTATCAAATTACGTTCACAGCCAGAGTCGATGAAGGCAGATAAAGTGAGATTCTGGTCTGAGAAAAACAAGGTGGCTGGGAGCATCAGATGAGGAGATTTCTCAGAATTCAAATGGCCCGTCACACTCCTCAGATCCTCTGACGGGCCCCGGCTTTTGACTTAGCTGGGCATGAAGCGATGAAACGGCCAGTCTCACCACAGTAGATGCACAACTTGCCTCTGAAACGTCTTAGCCTTTCCTCAGGGGTTAGCCTCGTATGTCCAACCTGCATGGGTTCGGCTTCCGTTTCCACTGAGTGAGAGACCTGAACTGGCATAGAGAGAGTGTGGGTTTTAGACCTCGGCTTGGAAACGGGTTCTGTGGGACCAGAAAAAACAGATGCATTATTAGATGCAGGGGCTGACACAGAAAAACTTTGACTCCTTTGTCTTGAACTGTTTCTAGCACGGATTCTGTTATCCAACCTAATTGTTAGGCGGATTAAATCCTCTAGAGTCGCTGGTTCGTCGAGAGTTGCAAGTTCATCTTTGATATTGTCATTTAAAGCCTTGAAATATGCACTTTTAAGAGCACATTGATTCCATCCGGAAGCTGCGGCTTTGACCCGGAAGTTGATGGAAAAATCCGCTACAGAGGAATTTCCCTGTCTTAGATTCAACAGAGCACGAGAGTCAATTGTTTGGTCGGATTCTTGATTAAACACCTGGGAAAATTCAGAAACGAAATCAGGAAAATCATATCTGAAGCTGTCTTCGGAGGCAAACCTTGCCTCCGCCCACTCTAGGGCTCGTCCGGTTAGTTGGGACAGAATAAAAGTTAGCTTTTTCTGATCAGTTGGGAAACTGCCAGGAGAGTTTTCAAAAATAAGACGGCACTGAAACAAAAATCCTTTACAGTCTTTCATATTACCTGAAAACTTTTCAGGAAGACTAGGACGGAACTCAGGTGATGACGTCACCACCGGTGACCTTGGAGGCGGAAGTGGACCCGGAAAAGGTCGTGCTGCTGATGCAGTGTTAGCGCTACCCATGTAGCCTGCATACGTTTGAAGCATCTGATTCTGAAATTCAATCTGGGTATGTAACTCACGGAGGGTCTGAGCGTGTCCTTGGATCTGAGCGTCTTGCTCCGCTAGTCTCCGTCGGAGGTGGCCTGCTGGGCTTAGTGTTTGGCCGCAGTGTTCTGTCATGATTGGTACAGAGGAGCCCAATATGCAGAACACAACAGAGTCTGATGAAAAGTTTAACAAAGTTTATTTAAGCACAAGCACATCAATATAATACTGGAACAGGTTCAGGCCGGGGGGCATGTTCACTGGAGTCTGTAAGGATGACAGTTCAGTTAGCTCTGGGACTGGAGAGTATGAGTCTGAGAGTTTGATGAATACCTTGAGGAGTCCGGGTTTCTCTTTGAGAGAGGAACTGTTGGGTCCAGAGACTGTTTTGTTCAGCAGAGTCCAATAACTGCTTCAGCGTCTTACTTCTGACTTTGAGGGCAGACCTTGGTTTGGGTTTCCAGCTCCTAGCCAAGAGCTGCAGGGAAATCCAGAGAAGAGTCTTCAGGTTTGGCTCACGAGGGCAGGCTCGGCAGGTTAAGCTCATCCAGAGCTTCAAGGGGTAACAGGATTCCTGTAAAGCAGAGACAAGGAGGAGTTAGAATCTAATCTCAACAGAGATAGCAAAGATTCTCAGGTTTTGCTAGGCTCAGGTGCTAACCAAACTAGATCAACACTGCGGCGTTGAGGCAAGGTCTGAAGGCAGGTTATATACAGGAGGATCCACTGATGACGAGATGCGCCACAGGTGTGTTGGGGGCTCAGCTCAGGAGGATCCACGGCACACTCTGCTGGAGAAAGGTGGTACAGCTCCAGATCCCAACACAGCCCTGGTTGCTGCAGACGGGGTAACGTTAGCCCTGGCTGCTGCAGACGGGCTAACATTAACCCTGGCTGCTGCAGACTGGCTAACGTTAGCCCTGGCTGCTGCAGACTGGTCAACGTTAGCCCTGGCTGCAGTAAGACACAGAGATCCGCTGGTTGAAACGGTCCACTTTTATTACGCATTAAATAAGTAAATGGGCCATATAGTGTAGCTTAAAGTATAATGTTCTCGCGTCAAATGATTATAAAACCTTCTTCTATAGAACGACCTTAACAGAAAAGAAAACCTTTAACTTAATACTCAGTTTAAAGCTGCTGCTGCCGCAGTGCATGCTGGGACAGCTGTCAGTCTGGAGAAGAGACAAGCCTGCTCTGATGCATGCTGGGTAAAGAGGACTTTGCCCGTTCTCCTTCTTGTGAATTGAACAGCACTAGGGTTGAGGCTAATGACGTTTCACGATCACACAAGAACGCACAAGTACACAGATTGAGAAACGGCCTTAGTTTTCATCTTCAGGACGAAAACTACTAGTTTTAGTGACATTTCAGTCAATACTATATGTGATAGTTTTAGTCGCCTTTAGTCGTTAGTTAGTTAGTTAGTTAGTTAGTTAGTTAGTTAGTTAGTTAATTAGTTAGTTAGTTAGTTAGTTAGCCTTCTGAGTTTGAATCTGTCTTCCATCATACAGTAAATAATAACTGTCTGCAGCCCCATTGGATGTTATCATCCCAATAAATGGCCATTATTTGTGGTTATCAGTCCCATTGAATGGCTTCAGATTGTGCCTCCTACCTACCAGTAGGCTCAGTTGGTTATCAAGGAATTCATCCTAATCCTAGCTCTAAGGTAATTTCTTATTTCCCACATAATTAATTCATCTATTTATGGGTAATCTGAAAATAATTTCAGAAGTTCTTCTACTCTGTATTGCACTCATATCAAACCATCCAAAAACAAAAAACAGTCTCATATCCACTGAATTGTTTTTAATCACTACATCAAATCTGTGTCACTGAAACCTCTGGAATTCATTTTTTAGTAAAGCTGCCAAACACAGTAAAAAGACTGGGTACATCATAAATAAATTCTATGGGAAAGGTGGGATACATCCTAGATAAGTCGTCAGTTGGCTTTCCGAGTTTGAAGAAACAAAAGTTTAATAAAAAAGAGTGCAACACTTTCTAACATTGTGAAGCCGTTCTCCCATAGCAGGAAAAGGTGGACTGATTATTGGATGGCCTTTTGGCAACCATCAAGGCCACCCGGGTTTCCACTAAACCTCGACAGAATCACAGGCTATTTCCCTTTATGTCATGTCACACTGATGCAGTGATTTAGGCAAAAGGACCTTCAACCAAGTACTGAGTGCACAGAAATGAACATACCTCTCACAGAGCCTGATATGTCTGTTTGGTATATCCCTGTATATTTATTTTTTGTAATGTTCAATAAAATATAAATACATTGAATTTGGAGAGTAATCAAAAAGCTTTAACAATACCATAAACAAAGTTTTTCCATTAGAGATGCTGAACTTTAGCCAGCCACAGTGTTTATTTTACCATTTGCATTTAGCACTCAGATGGGAGATTAACATGTTTCTGTCTGTTGCTGTAGGTCTCGTCTCGCTGATTTCCACATGAACTGCCAGATGACGTCTCAAACAGTCACCAGTTGCCCTTATGACAACTACATTGGCTGCCTCATGTCCTACATTGGTCTCATTGGTATGTCCACTTCACAATTTGTTCCTTAAACCAGACTGTTTATTGAAGACACTTAGTGTGTGTACATATGAAACATTGAAGACCTGCCTCCAGCCAGAAGGTCATTACAGGGTCATTCTTGCTTATGACCTACCTCCAGCTGATTGGTCATTACAGGGTCATTCTTGCTTATGACCTACCTCCAGCTGATTGGTCATTACAGGGTCATTCTGTCTTAAGACCCACCCCATCCTGTTGTGATCTGTTAATAAAAGGCTCTACTGTGAAGGGAGCAGGGAGAAAGGTGCTAAAATGTGAGCAGGCAGCCTTTCTCCTCCTGCAGGAAGCTGTGTTTGAAAATCCCTTGGTGTGTCAGATTCATTTTTTGTCCTATATGAACTCACAATTTTTTGAAGCTAACACAGACATCTGGATGAATGGATAGATGAGGGATAGAGTTGTATCAGACAGGAACAGAGACAGGTGGCAGGATCCAGACTTCCAGGCATCCACAGGCTTCCAGGAGGTTTCAGAGTCGGACTGGGACCAGAACTTGACCAGGTGGTCACGCACAGGAGCAGACAGGATCAGGTGCAGATAGGCAGGCTCAGTGGAAGAGGGTAGCCGAGACAGGACGTAGGAACCGGAACTTGAAGCAGGACTTTAAACTGGTCTCCTCCCTGGAGCCAGGCTGGGAGAGGAACAGTGGACATTCAGGAGACGAGACAAACACTAAAAACCTCTTTCCACTGGCTGCTAGGCTCCAGGACATGAACCAAATAAAACTGAACAGAAAGACTGACAGAAAGACAAGCAATGATCTGGCACTGAATGCTGAGGCTGAACTGAATATAAACCAGAGGAAACAGTTGAGAGGAATAAATTGTAATTGAGGCAGGGAGGGAAAAACGACAGGTGAAAGGAATAACCAATTAAAGGAATAGTACACCCAAAACATGATTAGCCTTCATTTTCTACTCACCCCCATGCTGAACAACACTGTGGAGTACTTTTTTGATATCTCAAATGCATCTGGAGATCTGGGAGGCTTCTTGCTGTCTGCTGACATTCAAATGGAGGTCTGTGGCGCCCGAGGCAGAAAGGTCCATAAAAGTCCACAAAAAACGTGTCAATATTCCTCCATACTGCTCGTCCAATGTATTCCAAGTGTCCTGAGTGGGTAGCATCCAGAATTTACTCGAAAAGAAGTCATTTAGACCTTTCTGCCTCGGGCGCCATAGACCTCCATTATTTGAATGTCAGCAGACAGCAAGAAGCCTCCCAGATCTCCAGATGGATTTGAGATATCAAAAAAGTACTCCAGAGTTTTGTTCAGCATGGGGGTGAGTAGAAAATGAAGGCTAATCATGTTTTGGGTGTACTATTCCTTTAAGCAGGAGCAAACAGGCCAGATCATGACATGTTCAAATCTCTTCTTATTGCGAAAATTTTTTCCAAGAACTTTATCAATCAAAATGTTCTGATGAAACAATCACGGATTTTATTAACACTCTGAATAAAATGCAACAAATGAGTGAGAATAATAAAGAACAATGTGATTCCTTGATCACATTTGAAGACATCCGAAACTCCATCAATACATTAGAATTAAAAAAAATCACCGGGGACTGATGGCCTAAATGCAGACTTTTATAGAAAGTTCTCAGAGCAGCTATCGCCATTTTTACATCAAGTTTATCTTGAAAGTTTGAATTCTAGATCACTCCCACCAACAATGACCCAATGTCTGATTCTATTGATCCCTAAACCACAAAAAGACAAACCTCTTCTGGATAACTGGCGACCAATTACATTACTACAAAATGACTTAAAAATGTTTGCAGGTTTTATTGCTACAAAAAAGAAGAATACTCTTGAAGAACTGGTCGAAGAAACTCAGTCTGGATTCACACCAGTTAGACATATAACTAATAAGATCAGACTTATATTGCTAGATTATTCAGATTTAATAGAGGGTGATGGGCTCATTTTATTTCTAGATTTTTTTAAAGCCTGTGACACAATTGAACATACATTTTTGTTTAAAGCATTAGAAGTATTCAGATACGGACAAGTCTGAATTAAAGTTGTCAGATGTTATATAGGAATTGTAATGCATGTGTAAAATTGTCACATGGCTGCTCCAAAAGATTTTATTTGAAGAGAGGTCTTAGACAAGGGTGTCCTTTCTCCCCAGATCTATTTATTCTGGCCATGCAAATTCTTTCATTCATCAATCTGGGTCTCTGACCCTTATGTGATTTTATGATATTTTAAATTCCCAGCCAGCTGGGTATTTATATTTCTGATGCTTTAACATGTTTATTGCCCTCCCCGTTGGGGGTGGTAAAATATCTTATTTAATCAGATATTATTTCAGCTGTTATATAGTGTTTATGACTCACAGTCCTACTAACTGTGTGTTAGAACAATAAATTAAAGAGTGATTCGAGCACTAATCATGGTCAAACAGTTAATTCTGCACAAACATAGAATAAATTCACCACAACTTCAGTTCAAAATGTAAGATTTTATTAACAAAATTCATTCAGCTCCAAGTCAAACATATTTCAGTTTAACACTCTCAACTAAGACTAGTAAAACTCAACTAAACTAACTACTATGTACAAAGAGGAAGGGGGAAACGGTTGAAAATCATATTGCAGTTTAAGATGGATTTTGTGTTTGAAACTAAATTTATCTGGAAGAATTTGGGATATGATTAATAAAATTAGCTTTTCACTAATTTTAGAGAAATTTGAATGTTTTCAGACCAATTCACAATGCAAATCCATGAGGTGAATAAAACATTATTTGGCCAAATAATGTTTTATTGAATGATTTGCTTAATCAAGAACCAAGAACCTTTAGATAAATGATTCTTTACCCTCTTTGAAATAGCTAGCAGCGAATAGACATCCCAATTCCACTAAATGACTCTTGGTCAGACTTGGTAATGGAAATGTAATGAACACATGAACACTAATGTTATATCAGTGTTTAAACCCTTAGTGAATAAAGCTTTTCTAAGCTTTAGCAACAGCTCAACACATATTTCTGTAGCATAGTGTAGCATGCAGTCCATCCTGTTAGCTTGACTTTACTCATCAGTAAACACATGCTGTTTGTTCTGTCCCTAATCATGCCAGACCTGCAAACCTTATTTTCCAAGTCCAGTTGGAAAGCTTGAGTTTCATCAAGCTGCAGCTCAGCAGTCAGGGCAGCGACCAGGAGTTCTTTGTCTCAGTCTCACAGCAGGGGTCCCCTCAGTCTCACACCCAGGGCATGGTTCTCATCCAGTTTGGCTCTATAAGTTCTGAAACTCAAGAGAAATGTGTTGCAAAAGGTCGGCTTTGCAGCAGTTTGGTTCTGAAAGGTCCTGACCTATCCTTGATGGTTCTGTAGATCTGGTTCCCCTGGGGCCAGCTTCCTGGGCAAGGGAGAGGAGGCAAAGAGCGCAGGAGCAGAAGAGGGAGAGAATCTGGTTTTCTCTGTGGTTTTGTTGCGTCTTCACAGAGAGGGGGGTGGGTTTTCACACCTCTGCCATGTGACTTGCCTGTGACTGCTTTGGCTGAAAAGAGGGGCTGCAGAAGTCCCCCAGCTGTTATTCCCAAAGCTGCGTGTTCTCCTCTGGTCATCCTGTTAAGATGAAATATGGACACTGGTTCCCAATGTCCAAAAAGTATGATCATGGCATATGGCACAACACCCTTAACCCCCTTATTGCTGCCTGTGCGCCCTACAATGGCAGCCCACTGTTCCCCAATGGAATGGTTAAATGCAGAGGTGAATTTCTCCAATATGAGATTAATAGCTAAATTTTTATTTAAACCTGTAGCAGTTTGTGTTAATTGTATAGTGGTCAGGCCAGACTCATCCTCTTTTTGGCGATATTTTAATTAATAGAGCCAACATTTCTTTGGTTGCTAATCAATACCTCTACTGGTAGTCCTAGCCTAAGTCACTAAATTGGTGGGGATAACTGGGTTTTAACAGCCAGTCCAGAACCCAACTAGAATGTGAGAAATCCTGGTGAGCAAGTGGATTACAGTTATCATTATTCAACAAAGAACATTCAATAGGTTTTACCTTCAGTCTTGAAAGATCTATCAATTAAATAAAACTGCCAGTTCTAGTTAATTGTATATATTCATAATCTACATGTAAAATATCCTAACAGCATCGAGGGTCTCAAACATACTCTTTAAATGTACCTTATTTTGATGCTCAAAACTCAATCCATGTGAACGCAGCTTTAGAGGACAGCTGGCTGTTTTTAGCATAATTTCTTGATTATTATTTGCAGAAGTGTCAAGTAACAAAGTACTAATGTTCATTACCTTTCTTCAGTAGACATTTTGGCTATTTAAACTTTACTGGAGTAATTCATTTTTAGACAACTCTTTACATTTTTCTTGCAATTATCTCTATTTTCTACTCCTCCGAATTTGAAAATAGACTCATTACTTGTGTTTTATTTAAGCTCTTTTTCATTATAGCCTGTTGGTTTAAAACAAAATTAATTAATAAAACCCATCAAAATAATTTGCTTCATCTAGACAATGAATTTCTTTGTGGTTCGACTCGGTGCTGCCCCAACTTGTTGTTCACCACTTACCGAAATAGATTGTTTTTCAAGATGATGCAAAGTTAAATTTATCACAATTGCCATTAGTTAAAATTAGAACCTTAAGTAGAAGGAAGTTAACACCACGGTTGTAGAGGAATGGTCCTTTAATTGGGTAGTGCAGTAAAGCTTATGTCCTTAACATTTTTTTCTGCATTACTTTTATTTTCAAATTTCCAGTAGTTTAAAAAATGGTACTTTTACGCTTAAGTAAGAAGCTTGATACTCTAAATCCTGCAAAGTGTTTTTCAACTGTAAGGTTTTTACTTTTGGTTGAGTAATTAATATTAATACTTTTGACACATTTGAATACTCAGATCTTCAATGGAGGAGTTAGGGAGATGCATTGTAGTTTATTCATTTCCTATTTGATAACCATCCCATCCAAATATAGTAAAAATGTATTTAGCTTCTTCCTGGACAGTCCTAATTCTTTATTTTCCATTCTTTCTGCCCCTGTTTGGTAACAGGCTCAGACGTAACACCAAACTACAGTGACAACAGCCCAACCAACATCACCATCAGCCTGTGGTGCACCTGCAGGGGCAAAGGTCATCAGGAGCCAGACTGTGAGGCCTTCCATAGGGACTTCACTCATAACACTTGCCTCAGTAAGTCCACATTTTATTCTGCCAAATAACCGGGGCAAACTCACACAGAGATAGAGCTGCAAGAACTCTCCATACAATTCAATTCAGTTTAGTTGTATAGCGCAAATTCATGAAACATGCCATCCCAAGGGACCTAACAGAGACAATTCAACCAGATCATCCAGTCAGATTGATTTAAAGTTTTCTATCTAAGGAAAACCAGCTGATTGCATTGACTCGTTGACTTTTCAGCAATCCCTCACACTAAGCATGCTTTTTGCAACAGTGGAGAGGAAAAACTCCATAATAACAGGAAAAACCTACAGCAGAACCAGATATAACAGACAGAAGAAATCTATCTAAAGAGAAAACAGCTACTTACAATTAATGAACAACTTTATACAGACACATGTACAAAAAAAAAAAAAAAAATCAGCTTCAGACATCAAACTTCTCTTCGTTGTTGATATACCCCAAAAGGAATCCAGATTCCCAACATGGAACAGAACTCATTCCAGAAACCGGAAAGGAAACTATCTCGAAAAGATGCCTGTGGCCAGGCTGTGGAGGAAAAAAAAAAATTCTGGGGTGAATCATGTTAACAAGTGGTCCTCCTAATTGTCAATCATTTTGGTGATATGTTTCCGTAAGGCTGTTCTATGTGCGTGTCCGTTTTCTATTTGCTCACTTTCAGGCGTACATCTGTGGTGAGCTACAGTTTCAGACAGTCATTGAAACTCACTTTTCTTAGAAAATGGCCGAGGGTCGTGAGAGAAAAAGTGTCTACAAAGTGTGTGAGAAGAAAAGAAAGGCCTCAGAAGAGGCAGATATATCCCAGAATGCTTTGCGCAGAGCTCTCCTCTCAAAGCATTATGGGATTTGTATCCACGGTGGCCTGCTGTCACTACCCGACCCGGGCGACTTATACAAAGATGGTACAGGCACTGCATGGTGGAGGAGTTACGTAACCAACGGGCTAAAAGCAGTGATCATTTGTCTGAACGTTCACTTAACTGAGTTGCTCTATATAGTGATTGAGAGATTTATATGCAAGAATTATCCTGCCATAATTTTCTCCTCTCGCTTGCCTCCTTCGCTTCGCGCACAAACTGCGCTCTGCTCGAGTCTCAGATACGCTCGCAAACCCGTAGGCTCTGCTTGCAGATTTTTTTCTGCTCTCTCTCGGATTGCAATTGGATAGTCACCTAGCAACCAGGGTGTGCTTGTTTAACCCTACTGAGTGTGCCTGTGCTACTACGCCACTTATGAGAGCGTCAGCTGAAACTGCTATTTACAGTAGTTTTGTGGCTCGATTCAGCAAAGTTCAGTACTTATGGATAACCCAAACAATTCTGAAGTAAGTTATTTTAAACAATTAGTGGTTTGTTATGTAAAAAAGCAAAGAACCGACGAGAGCGCGAAGAGAAGGAGGCAAGCGAGAGGAGAAAATTTCTGTGCAAGAAGCATTAAATCTGAGAGAAGAAACAAAGATTTGAGAGAGAAGAGAAAATATTAGAGAGAGAGCGCATGTTTGGAGTGTGAGCATTATAAGTTTTGAGTGCAAGAAGATGAAATTCTTTTCTCAAATTGAAATTATGTGCTCTTGCATTATGGCAGGATAATTCTCCCATAGATTTAGGGGTTAGGGTTGACATTCAGACACAGTAAGCTTGTATGAGATATGAGAGCAGCAAGTTTTAAACAGAGCATGCACGAGGAGAAATGGGCTCCTTGCATGCACATTTGGAGAGGGTTTTTTAAGTTCTGTTTGAAAAAATCGTGAAAATCCTTCAAAATTTTGGATATGTAATTTGTAATCTCCGAGGCGATGCATCAGGGGCTCTTTATTCAAAGTGTTGTCTCACTATTGGGCCTGTGGTGATGCTCAGGTGGCTGCATAGTTAAAGCAGGAAAGACTAGTTATTTCTTCATTTGTTCATAAATAGCATCTGCAAGTGTTCATATACAGGAAAAGTAAAAACACCCCTAAAGAAATAAGCTGGCATAAAGCCAGATAATGATATTATCCGCAACACCTCTCAAAATCAATGCGTCAAAATCGCAGAAGAAGCAGCAGACACAACTAGGATGGCCGACTCATCTCCACGAGATGCCAGAAACCTGATGACTGCGCTGCAGGGTATCAAGAATATCAGAAAGACTCTACCTGTTGAAGTCTCAGGTGTAAAAAGAGGAGTAGAGGCTGCTGTCCAGGTGGTGTGTGGCCTGGAGTGACAGATTCTCATTCTGAAGGAGAAAATAACAGTGCTGCAATTCTTCTCCCAGACTCAAAACAAATGCATTGCTGGGGTCAAGGAAGTAGTTGAATGTTGCAACTGGGATGGCTTTTAGAAAACTCTGCTATTGGAGGCACTGAATATAAATGTCGAAGACTGGTATGATGACATGTTTAGCCGCATGTCGTCATTCAATCGCTGGTTGTCTAGGTGGTGCCCTGAAAACAACGTGGGCTACATTAATAATTGGCAATCCTTTTGGGGAAAGCCTGGTCTGATTCGGAGAGACGGCATCCATCCCACTTTGGATGGTGCAGCTCTTCTTTCTAGGAATCTGGCCACATTTATTAGTCCTCCAAAACCCTGACCACCCAGGGTGCAGACCAGGAAGCAGAGTTGTAGTTTAACACACATCTCTGCAGCTTCTCTACTGTTACCCACTCTTTACTCCATCCAGACAGTGTCTTGCCCACGACCAAAATCTAATAAATTAGCAAAGATTCCCAAAGGAGTAAATCATGATAATCTAATTAAAATCAAAATAACTCCAATTGGGGAAAAAGTTAAAACAATTAAATGCGGTCTGTTTAACATAAGATCGCTTTCCTCTAAAAGTCTACTAGTTAATGACTTGATTTGTGATAATCACATTGACTTGTTTTGCCTTACAGAAACCTGGCTGCAGCAAGAGGATTATGTGAGCATAAATGAGGCAACTCCTTCAAGCTATTTAAATTTTCACATCCCCAGAAGTTCTGGGCGAGGAGGAGGAGTAGCAACAATCTTCCAGTCTGACTTACTGATTACTCCCAAAACAATTAATTCCTACAACTCTTTTGAACATTTAACCCTTAATTTCCCTGATCCAAATTTCAAGGCAAGAAAACCTCTTCTTTTTGTAACTTTGTATCGTCCACCAGGTCCTTACTCTGAATTTTTAGATGAGTTTTCAGAGTTCCTTTCTGATTTGGTATTAAATACTGACAGGGTCATCATAGTGGGAGATTTTAACATCCATGCTGACATTGAAGGCGATAGCTTAAGAGCAGCCTTTAATGCTATCTTAGACACTATTGGCTTTGTTCAAAATGTGAATAGTCCCACGCATTCTCATCTTCATACTTTGGATCTTGTGCTGACATACGGCATAGAATGTGAAGAAATAACAGTATTTCCTCACAACCCTGTCCTCTCTGACCACTTTCTAATAACCTTCAGGATTACTTTAACAGAGTTCTCCTCCCCCAAAAGAAGGTTCAATTTTAGTAGATCTTTATCAGATAGTGCAGTTATAAATTTTAAAGAATCTGCTTCACTTTCTCTCTGCTCTGTGTCACTGAGCAGTGCTGCAGAGTGCAAAAGCTTAGCTTATTCCCCTTCACAGGTTGATGATTTTGTTGAGGGGGTTGCTAGTTCTCTGCGTATTGCCTTAGACAACGCAGCTCCTTTGAAAATGAAAACCGTTAAAAATAGAAAGCTTGCTCCTTGGTTTAATGCAGAGCTGCGTACTTTGAAGCAAAATGCTAGGAAACTGGAGAGAAAATATCGCTCCACAGGCCTGCGGGAGTCCTTCCTAGTCTGGAAAAATGGTTTACTGCTGTATAAGAGGACCCTTTGTAAAGCAAGAGCAGCATACTTCTCCTCATTAATAGAGGAGAATAAGAATAATCCTAGATTTCTTTTTAATACAGTTGCCAAACTCACCCAGAGCCATAGCTCTGTTGAACCGTCCATTCCACCTGTTCTTAGCAGCAATGATTTTATGGGATTCTTTATAAATAAGATTGATCTTATTAAAAATAAGATCATAAGCACTCCTCTATCCGCGATTGTACCTGAGGTAGTCATGGAATCTGAACCGGGTTTAGACTGCTTTGATCCAGTTGAACTCTCTGAATTAGCAAAATTATTGTCTTCATCTAAGCCTTCAACTTGTATGTTAGATCCAGTTCCAACCAGGTTATTTAAGGAGGTATTCCCTTTGATCTCCTCCTCCATTTTAGATGTGATTAATCTATCTCTGTTACAGGGATATGTACCTAAAGCTTTTAAGATTGCTGTAATTAAACCTCTGCTTAAGAAACCGTCTCTTGACCCAGATGACTTGGTCAATTATAGACCTATATCCAATCTTCCTTTCTTATCCAAAATTCTTGAGAAAGTAGTTGCCAAACAAGTTTGCGACCACTTACACCATAATGAACTTTTTGAAGAGTTTCAGTCTGGCTTTAGAGCTCATCATAGCACTGAAACAGCTCTGGTGAAAGTCACTAATGATATTCTCATGGCCTCAGATAATGGACTTGTATCTGTGCTCGTCCTGTTGGATCTTAGTGCTGCATTTGATACAGTTGACCATAATATTCTTTTAGAAAGACTTGAATATTTTGTTGGAATTAAAGGAACAGCACTAGACTGGTTTAAATCTTATCTATCTGATCGAATTCAGTTTGTTCATGTTAATGATAATGTGGAGTACCACAGGGATCAGTGCTAGGACCAATTCTCTTTACTTTATACATGCTCCCAATTGGTAGAATTATTAGACAGCATGGGATTAATTTCCACTGTTATGCTGATGATACCCAGCTATATCTGTCTATAAATCCAGATGAAGCTAACCCATTACATAGATTACAGGCATGTCTTGAAGACATAAAAACCTGGATGACTCTTAACTTTCTGCTCCTGAATGCAGACAAAACAGAAGTTATAGTCTTTGGACCAGAGTCTCTGAAAAAGAAACTGATTAGCCAGTCACTTCATTTGGATGGGATTAAACTGATTTCAGATAATAAAGTAAAAAATCTTGGTGTTATTTTTGATCA